CTTGCAAAGAACTAGAGAAAGTGAAGTTAAAAATACCTTAGAGCTCCCCCTCAAAGTGGTCAGTGCTCCTTTAAAATTCAAAAAGGCTTTCCCTTGAGTAACAGGCTTATCAGTTTTCCTGAATTAATGTGTCCACAGGAGGCAAGAAACATGTTTCTGTGTTTGAGTGACAGTGCAGATGTCACTGCCAGCCTGCAAATGTTCCCAGCCCTGCAGCCTCGTCCCTTGGAGCTGCCCTGGTTGTGCCCAGCAGCACCTCCTGACCCCATCCCTCCCTCACATCCCACAGGTGGAAATCCTGCAGCTCCAGACTCCACAGCCACTGTGCTGGAGCTGGACACGAGCAGAAACCATCAGGGGCTGTGTTCTGGCAACGTGGGAAAGTTATTGAGGCTGTAAAGGACAGTGAAATTTGTATTTTGATTTCCTGTGTAACAGCAAAGAGGGAGGCTGCTCTTATGAGCCAGGAATGAAGCCTGAAGGTGTAAAGAACCAAGGTAATAAGATGTTTGTTCCTCAGCAGCATGCATCATTTGCATACCTGTGTTTGCCATCCTGATTAATTAAGGAAAATCTATATGGGCTTCTTTTATGATTAACTATGGGATGCACACTTTTATGTTTTCCATCTCATATCTACAGCACCAGGCTAATTTTCCCCACACATCTCTGGGATGTTAAAATATAGCGAATAAACTTTGGCTTTGAGTACTGAGAGAAGCCTCTGGGTACCCCAGCTCAGTGGGGAGCTGAGATACCATCACCACAGCAGCTCTGCAAAACCAGAGCACCACACAAGGAAAAAGGCAGAACACGATGCAGATAAGACAGCATTTCAGATTAAAGGAATTCAGATAAACAGGATTTTAACTGACCTTAGCATTTAGAGGAGTGGAATCTATCCCCCTGCAGATCACTTCCCATTTTAACCCAGTGTAAGAGCTGAAAGGGTAACAAAACACACGCTGCCACAATTAACCTGGAGCAATTGGCTCATCTTGGGGAGGAGCAGAGCTCAGCATGAGGAGCAGCCAGTGCCTCTCTTCTGGGATCAGTCTGGGAGTGGGAAAATGGATGGACTCGAGTCTTGGGGGCAGGATGGGCAATACCTGGGTCTGTCTTCCCAGGGAGCCTTACCTGGCTCTGATCAAGCACCTCCAGAAATCAGAGGACAGGCCAGCAGCTCTAATTTAATTATCGAGGGATTACTGAGGGAAGGAGCTACAGGCTACACAGTTTCAAGCAGCTGGAATCTGTGAGGAAGCCATTTCTGGTACAAAACCTGCTGCCAGCAGCTGCCTGAGGTAGGACCAAGCTGAGGGGGTTGAAGTTCATCCTGCATCCCACAGGACTTGGCTGGAGCTGTCATCTGCAGATCCTCAGCATTACATCTGGCACAGCAGCACTGTCATCCTGCAAGGCCACCAAGCAGCTGGTCCTTTCCTGTCCACTTTCAGATTATAGTAATTAAGAGGAGCCTAAATGAAATTTATAACCTTGTCACTTGAGCATCCAGGACAGGAGATTTCACCTGGGACAGATGAGACTCATCCTGCTACTCCAGGACCTGTTTGCTTGCAAAGGACTTCCAGGAGCTGCTCTGCCATGCAGCATTCTGTGTTTCCATTCCCTCTATGGATTCAGTGGGGGATTCAGGGACCCCCAATTAATGAAATGTAATTAGCACTGAGCATTTTCATTTCTTCCTGAGTGTACATAAAATAAGACCTCTTCCACAAAGGTCTGGTGTGTAGGGAGCTCTAAGGACCTGTGCACACAGAGAGCTGCAAGCACAGAAGTGTCTGTACCTGAAATGCACAGCAAAGGTGGAGAAAGAGAGCCTTATTAATCCTTAAAAAACAGCCTGAGCAATCAAGACTCGGTCCTCTGAGAGCAAGACTTTTCCTTTTTAACCCAGCAGTAGGTTTGAGCACCTCCTGTCTGGATTTCCAGGGTACTATTTGTATACATGAAGTTACATGCCCAGCCTGGAGAACTCCATCCAGTGCAAGCCCTCAGTGTCACTGCATCTCACATGTCCTTCCTGTGGAGGGAAATTCAGCTCTGCATGGCACCAGCAGGTCACAGATCTGATTTTGCCCAATATTTCAACAAGTTTCACTTTGTTTTTACCATATGACAGCATTTTGCCAATGTAGTATTGGGCTTCTGTTCTTGCTGAGCTATCTCCAAAGCCATGGGTGGCACCACGTGCCACCTGGCCGGTGACTGGCAGCAGTGACACCAGGTACAAGCACGCCCAGAGCTGATCCTGCCTCTGGCTGGAATTCCCCACGGAGCTGACAGGGAGGGGATGGGCACGGCTCGGAGCAGCTTGCTGCCTCTGTGCTTATTTATGCACCCAGCTGGTTTGCACAGCTTTGTGATCTCCTGCTTGAGACGTGGGGATCTCTTCATCATCTTCCCATCTGCCAGGGACACTCAGCTCCTGAAAATTACCTTCCCCCAGCTGGTATCCACAGAAGGTCATTGTCCTGAATAATAGTCTTGGGTAGCAATCAGGACATAATAAAAGGATGGTAGAGTGCTATTACTTTACATTGTATGCTACTCTGGACATGACTTGTTCCTTCTTTTCCCAGTCCTCCTCCATGCTCTTACCATCCATCAGTCCCTGAAGGTTTATATCAGTAACATCTTGAAACCACTTTAAAGAAAATGGGTTCAATCTTCCCCTTGATCTTTACATAAAACAGAGACATCAAGAGGGAGTCCCACGTCTGGGATGAACATACAGAATATGCTGTTTCAGATGAAGTTTTGTGGCTATTAGGATCAGAAAGCCACGTGAATTCTCTGTTTGGTGTGAGTGGGCAGGGGAACCCTCAGAAGTTCCATGATCCTGAACTTTTCTGATATTTTTCAGGCCATGCCTAATTAGTACCAAAATCAGAAAGCAAAAATTTCAGCCTGAATTATTTATCACCTCATATTAATAAAATGCACCGCAATACACATCATGGCCCAGTTCACAACAACTGCAGATAAGATTAATCTTTCACTGATGCCATACTCCTTAATATGAAAATATAATTATCTAGCTGAAGAGTTTCTTAAATGACATACTTTCAAACTGGTAGGAGCAGAATTTATCCTTGTGTCTGGTGCCAAGCCAAGTGGAAAAACATTGGAACAGAATTGAGAAAACACGTGTTGGTTCTGTCTATCAGCATTTCCACCTTACAGAGTCATGTCACCATTTCAACACCAACCTGGTCTCAAATATGGATATAATATTTTCCTCCCTGAAATGTGATCCTGAAGAGAAGAATTCCAGAACTGCAGAATGGATACACTGATGGATAAAGTGCTTAGGCTGCAGCAAAGCCCCTCCAAGTTAAGATACACTTACCTTGCTCAATATGGAAATTAAAAGAAGGACATCAGATATTATTCTTACCTTTAATTAGTATCTAATGTCCATTTACAGATGTGCATGGGAGTAAGCACAAAGTCTTTGCTGCAAATGCCTTTGAGGAAAAGCTACATCTTCAGTCTGCATTGCCTGCAAAGGTCAGTCCCTGCAGTTTCCTCTGGAATGCTGCATCCAGAAGATGTGTAATAAACTTCTAGAGTAGGTATATATAAGAATCTCTCTTCAGATTACTCTAATTTTAAAAGCCATTTTTTCCCTTGAAGAAGCTCACAGTGACTACAGGAAAATCTAACAGCTGTTTCTCTGCTGATCATCAGTAAATGAACAGTAGAGTTTTAAAGCCTGATAGATGGATACATTGATAGCAAGGAGGTTCAGAGAAAGATAAATGCTGCCCAGCCAGTGAGGAAGGCAAGAGAATGAAGGATACAAGTGAGCTTATAAAATGGATTTTCTTGGGGGAAAAATGTCCTTTTCAGGGTTACATGCCCAGTATCTTAGAAAAGTAGCTTTGTTGTACACAACATGGAGAACTTAGTATTTTTACTTTTTAAAAATTTTTAAAATATTATTTCCATTGCATGTTTTAGGCATAATTTCATTGCTTTTGCTTCATGCTCCTGGGAGCTGGGTTGCTGTGGGATGTCCTGTCCATCAGAAACGTAAGGCCTGTGTTGGTTTAAGGCATAAATCAATGGGAAAGGTGACACTATCCCAACTGTTGGCTGCCTGATCAGCCTGCCTTGCTCCATGCATCCTTCCAACTTGTACTTGTTTGAAAAACAATTAAATTTTCCAAATGACTTCCTGTTAATATAAATGCATTTTGACTGTCAGTGCCACTGGTGGTTCTGCAGTATATGGAACATAAGTTTATTTCCACCCAAGGCCTCAACAGAGAGCAGAGGGAGATTAACCAGGATTTTAGGCAGCAAAGTGTGAAATGGTTGGGTCAATAACTTGCCCCCTACTGCTGTCAAAAGCTGGAAAGAGAGCATCATTGTGGAATCAAGTGCAGGTCTAATTGTGCTGAGAACTCCAGCCTGGACTCCAACTTCACTGAATATTCCTCTCTGTTGCTGTGTAATCACAACAGCTGTGTCAAACCAGCATTAATCTGCTCTCTGCAACTACCCTGTGACAAGAATCATTGGAAAATGGGAAAATTCAGAGTTTTGTATGTTGGAGCAGCTGTAATGACTCATCAGAAATGCCCAGGTATGATGGTCCTGGGATTCACCGTCCCACAACTGAACTCCTGTGGAAAGGGCAGTTCAAGGAGAAAAACTCTGCAGGATTATGGATGATCTGCATCCCTCCTGAGGATGCTTTTACAGAAGGCTAACATCTGGCTGCAGGTTTGGAGCCATCTTCAACTCATCTGAATACAAATTTAATGAATGCCAATTATTGTCACCATCACGAGTGATTTAAATATGGGCAAGTTCAGCTGATCTTGTCTCAATCTATTATTTAGAAGTTTGCAGTCAAAAGTCCAGGGCTATAACTGATGCAATAGCAAAGCAAAACAAACCAACATAATCCCCCAAACCCCAACATGAACCAAAGCCCCAAGGTTTGCAAAGGGAATTGCTGGTTTTACCTGTCCAGCCTGCCAGGCAGCAGCAGTACCCAGTGACAGGGTCACACCCGTCCGCGTGGTTGCAGTCACAACGCTCGCTGCAATTAAGGCCATATGTTCCATCCTTCAAGAACAGAAGTAAAAAAGCCTCTCAGTGATCAGCTTTTTGTTCTGCAATGTGCAAAATCATCTATCATGTCCCTCTTAATGCTGAGTTGCATTTTTTAAATTAACATACAGAGAAGACAGAAACTCAGTGCCTAATGTTTCCATACAGAACCAAATGAGGAATCACTTTAAAAAATGACATCAAGAAACTGCAGATAACACAGCAATAGCTCTGATAAAATACAATGCAAAGTATAATACATCCAGTTGACTGCTAGAACCCCAGTCTGTTATTTACACTTGATTTCCTCAGACATCACAGACAAATGGAGATCCTCCCCTGCTCTCTGTTCAGCAGAGCTATGGGGACTGTGATTTAAGGTGGTGGAAGACCACCCCAAATTGTTATTTGCACTCACAGGACAAGGCTGGTCACAGAACTCCCCCTGCCATCCTGGGGAGCAGAGGCAGAAGCCATCAGCTGGCCTGCAGGACGCTCCATTGCTGCAGGAACACGTCTGGTTACAGTTCAGACCCCAGCTTCCACTTGAACAGGGAATAGAGCAATCCACTCCTTGCCACCCTAAGGAAATGGGAGAGAAACATCATCTGGGATGTTTTCATGAAAACAGCAAGACAGGCAGCTGGCAAGCTGCAGCTCTCTGTTTCTAGGAGCAGTTTCTTGGTGTAAATGAAAACTAACTTGGGGTCAAACACTGACCCTTTCATTATGACCTCCCAGCTCCATCTCCCAGCATCTGTACACACAGATGGAGGTATCACAGCCTTGGCTGTAACCAGATTTAGGTGCCTGATGCCTTTCTGGGATCTGCTGGGCAGTCCTTGTCTGTCAGGCTGGAGACCTTCTGACCTACAGGACCGCAAGAACTTTTCATGTGATGCTGCCTGTTTCGTACCGAATTTTTTTTTTTTTTTTTGAGAGTGCTATTTAATTTAAAGCAGCTACTACACCTAAAAAAAGACCAATGCCATAATTTCTAGCCATTAAGGCTCAAATCTTAACTACCAGGAGCACAATGACTTTCATTACACTGCAGCTCTGTGTCATGGAGTTGAGCAGTAACTCATGGTTTATACACCCTCATTAAATGGGGTTCTACAGTGATCCATTAATTCATGTTTGAAATGCCAGATTTTATTGTTATTTGCCTCACTTCTGTTTTAGGGCTTATGTATGTCATACAGGTGTAGCTCATGTTGGGATTTTGGGGGAACAGAAGAGCCATTGTTTCATGAGCAGTGGAGGAATTCTCAGGTGGTTACTGGATCCATGGGATGTGCTCACCACCACGTCCAGGAGGGAATTATGGACACGTGGGAAGAAAATATGTCAGTCACCTTGGAGCAGGAAAGACTTCTTATTTCCCCAAATAAATGACAGCCACATCCTGAACCCTGTGCTAGCTCAGGAGACAGAGGACACCTGCACAAGGCTGGGGTGTCACCATGCCAGGGTACAGGATAATGAGCAGCTGGGATGGCAGCAAGGGCAGAGAGCCAGGGCCCACCCCATAGTGCCCAAGGACAGGGCTGGCAGCTGGGATGAGCCAGGAGCCCAGGGCACCAGGAATGAGACCAGCCCAAGGTGGAGATGGGCAGGCAGGAGTCAGGTCAAGGCTGGTGAGGATGACCAAGGCCAGGCACAGCCCAGTGCCAGGGGCTACAGGGCACACAGGCAGGAAGCTGCCCCCACTCCTGTGCCCAGTGGCTTTGGAATCTGGGAGAAACAGAGCAGCGAAGGCCTAAAAACCTAGCAGCCAGAGGATTGTTCTGCATTTCCCCTGGAGATGAGCAGTGTTTCTGCCCTCACACTCAGTTCTGTGACAGGTTTCTGCAGTAGAGCAGAGAAGTCTGGCCCCTGGCTTGCAGTCCAGCCCCTGTTAAGCTGGGATACTGGGGAGGACAAGAAAATAGTGAAGTTCCTGACTGCACAGCTGTGCCACTTTCAAAGGGGACAGGCATTGATGGCAGGGACCTGTTAAATGTGAATTTTGTTTACCTTCTTTGCAGTAGCACAGCCCATCCACAGGGGAACAAGTGCCATTGTTCTTGCAGTTACAGACCGACGAGCAATTGGTTCCGTAGGTCCCTGCCATGCAGGGAATGGTGCAGTCATCTCCCTGCAACCCAGAAAAGTCAGAGTCAGCTAAAGGAATCTGGCATGTAGGAAATTCCCAGCTCGGCACAGGGAAGCTTTCTCTCTCTGAACAGTGAGCAGAGTGTTGTGAGTTGATTGCTGAGTCTTCAGCACTTGAGCAGTCACCGCTGCTTCCCATGATTATGATGCAATTAGTGCTTTGATTGACTTGGAGGAAAGGGACAAGTTTCTGGCATTCATTCAGCAGGAGGTGGGGAAGTTACAAAAACAAACCTCCTAGAGCAGATGTTAGATCATTAAGCAAAACATCACTTACGAAGCACTAATCACAAAATATACAGTCTGAAACCGTGCAGAGATTGCTCTGCGGTTCTTGGAAAATATATTCTAAGAATAGGTTTGTTAAAAACCTAAAGGATCTCGTACGTGCTCGTCTTCCACAGGTTGGCAGAGAGGAAAACGACATGGCAGGTGCATCAGACCTTTTTGATGCGTAGCTGGTACCTGCATTTGTTTTCAATTAATTTGCATGAGATTGTGACTTTAGGAAGAAGGCAGAGCAGGAGTGATGTGTGTGTCAGAGACAGGAGGCACACAGCAGAACACAGAAACGTGGTCTCTGTCCTATTTCTGCTCTAGGTGTGGGCAAAGGGAGGGAAAGGAGAATAAATACTTACATTTTACAGAAATATAGAATGCTGTAACATTGCATTCTGGTGTGCTGTATGCACTGATCAGCTTGTGTGGTTGGAAGGACAGACACAGTTCTTACTAATACGGTTCATCAGATACAACAAGGGAATTAAAATGTGAGAACAATAAGGTTTAAAGCAATTGTGGTCTAACCTCACTAATTGAGGTTTAAGCCTTAGTAAACTTACTGAGTCCCACAGCTGGGTCTACACATTAACATATACAAGGTATTTTGGCTTCCTTTTCCTCTGTGTGTAATCCTGACTTTCACATTGCAAATTAGCTCCTAAATTTACTACTTCAGTGAGTCAAACTTAAATAATTTAGTTCTATGCCAGGGAAAGTGAACCTACTACAAGATAAAAAGTAACTCCATTGCATGGTGTGACCTGTGTCATAGCTCAGGGGAAAAGGTATTGGTCAAAATGTATTTTTGCACGTGAGAGGCTTCACTGTTAGATAGGAGGATCCATTTATTAGGAGTGAAATGTGCACCATGTCAGCTTCCCTATGCTGTGACAAGTACCTGCAGGAGCCTGTATATCACACAGCAGACACCCAGACAGCACAAGGAAATATGAACAGATTTCTGAGCACCATAAACCCCCATCTGCTTTGCTGGAGCAGTTCTGCCTCACACCAGGGTGACTCATCATATTTTAGACCTTTTAGAAAAACTTTGTTTCAGGAGGAAGGAAAGGAAACAGTTAACTGCTCACAAGTAAATCCTGAGAGTGTCTGATTTTTGAGTGAAGGCACTGTTTGTAAAAGATGCTATCTTTGACCTTGGTGGAGTAAAACAAGTGCCCCTGCAAAGGCCTGGCAGGAAAAGATGCTGCCTTGACAGGCAGCAAATCCAAAGCAGGCTGCCCCTCATTACCCTGCCAGCATGCCTATGGAATGAGCTCCAGGAACCCGGGCTGGCAGAGGGGCATTCAGTCTCCACGCCTAATCAATCCTCTGCCTTTCTCCTGTGTGTGACAATTAGACAGCCAATTAGTGCCACTTAGGAACCCTTATCCTGTGTGAATGAAACTCCCAACTCATTTCATGTACTACACAGAACTGCTGGTACTGCTAATAATTTCTATGACAACTGACCTTATCTGGATTTGAACTAGTGATCCAGAAGGAAAAGAAAATTCCTTTGAAAAGGAAAGGGGAGCAGAGTGATGTGGAGTTAAAATACCCCTTGGGGAGTCACATTCACTAACCACAGAACCACAGAATCATCAGGGTTAGGAGAGAGTGAAGATCATCCAATCCAACCATCAATCACCCCAAAACCACATTCCCACATCCTGACACCCCTAAAACACCATCTGGGCCAGGGCTGGAGGCAGCAGGAGGATTTCCAGTGTCTCAGCTGATGTTCTGTGACCACAGAGCAGCTGGTGTTGGGGGCAGTGCTCCCTGGCCAGGCATAACTGGACTGGATTCACTGGTTTTCTGTAATCACTTTGGATTATCCCAAAGAAAAGGGATACAACTCCCTGAAAAGGGGTTGTAGTGAGGTGGGTGTCAGTCTCTTCTCTCAGGTAACAAGTGACAGGATAATCAGGTGAGGAAATGGCCTCAAGTTGCACCAGGGGAGGTTCAGAATGGATATTAGGGAGAATTTCTTCACAGAAAGAGCTGTCCAGCATTGGAACAGGCTGCCCAGGGAAGTGGTGGAATCACCTTTCCTGAAATCTTAAAAAACATGTGGATGTGTCACTTGAGGACATGATTTAGTGGTGAACACAGTGGTGGTGCTGGTTGATGGTTGGACTTGGTGGTCTTTGAGGCCTTTTCCAACCTTAAACATTCTGTGATTCTCACAAGGTGACCATCAGGCTGTTTATTCCAAGCCTTTGAGTGTTGGCATTTACTTTAATGTACTTGGCTTTATGGACTGACAGAGCTGGGCATTCTGGCTGCCCACCATTCACTGATGTACTTTGCAAACAAACCTTAACTGAAAAAAATACCTGGTTTAATGAGATTTCTATCCCCAGGTTTGACAAGTGAGACCTCCAGAGCTCTCTGAGTGACAACTGCCAAATACACTTAACTTCTTAATTACATAAGAGGAAAATGCACTTGAACTATAGCACTGGCTCTAAGATTTTATTAATTATAAATGCACACCTTGTTATTAACATTTTGAACTTGATTTGGGAGAATGACCTCTGAAATGAAATGCATTCAGGTACTGTTAAAGATATGTAAATTCCACCTCCCTCTCACCACCTGCCTGAGTGGATAATGCTGCAGTGTATGCATCCAGCTGTTAATGAGTTATATATTCTAATAAACTGATTTCAAATTGTGTGTATTGAATCTTCACTCTTGCAATATGGTACTTTATATTTCTATCCTAGTTAGTAAAATTAATCAACAGCTGTGCTCCTTATGTTGATTATTCTTTTTTTTTTTTTTTCTGTTAAGATTGGGAGGTTAATGAGGATAGTGCAATGCCTGGATGTGGTATCCATGCTAGGAAGGAGTAGCTAATTCAATCAAACATATACCCCTGGAAATGTTAAAGCTATATTAGGAAATTGAGCTATAAATAACTTGGTATTTTCTGTCTCTGTGTTCCAAATCAGAATGACCCATATGGACATCACAAACTTTCAGAGGTGCTTCATTTTCAATATTTTCACTTAGAAGTGCCAGTTTATCAAAATATCCCCCCAAATCTATCCACTGGGCTATTTCTAATTTCAGGGGTCAAATCTGACTTTAACATAAACAATGGAAAAATTCTTTAGGGAATGTGGGGTCAGGGCCAGCTGTGGGAAATGCCCTGCTCTGTGTGGAGCAGCACATTCCTACTGTCTGCTCTGCATCACCCCAACCTGGGAGAGGCCACCTCAGTGCCACCAAGGACAGGGTGTCCCACACTTCATCCCTGCTCAGAAATTACCACTGAGCCTCTTGTTTGAAATCCAGGCCTGAGGGGAGCACCCCAACATGGCAAAGATACAGGAGGGAAGCTACAATTCCTGGGACCCTAAAAGTCCCCTTGAAATCAGAATGGATGGTGGCAGTGACCTAAGCAGCCCCACCTATGACTTTCCATGCCTATAAACACTTCAGAAACACCCATTTTTGCTGGAACTGACAGCCCTTCCCAGCACCCCGAGAGCTTTGGGCATCCACTTCTTGTTATGGTTAATTCTTCCCCATGGATTGAGGGTGAGGTCCAAGGAACCAAGCTCCATTAATAACTCAGGCTGCCAGCTCACATCCATCAGCATCAAATATTAATAGACTCCGAGGGCCACAGCATCCGTCTTTCTAGATGGCAGTCAATAATCTGTCTTGTTTCTGTTCAGCAAGAGGGGAAGATTTTCCTCCACCAAAATTATTATTGTTCAATATTAGTAGAGCTTAAAGACACAATGCTGCCTTAGGTGTTGGCTATGTTAACAAGCTCTGACTGCTTCAGAAAGTGTTTTCCCTGGATTAATGTTACCCTAACAGGTTACATTTCTTGTTTCTTTTAAAAATGCATTCCTGCTATAAGCAGTGATCAACTCCCTTAAAAATCCTTTTCTGGTGATCAATACACAAATTTGTATTTATTCCTGTGCATTTTGGATTAGGACTTCAAGTCTGAGAAATGCATTTTGAAAGGGGAACAAAAAAGGGTATCCCAGACCATAAAGAGAGTTAATAACCCAGCATTGGTCAACAGTGTCCAGCAAAGTTTGCACCCACACCTGGTCTGTCACAAAGTTTGCTATTTAAGGATGTGAAATTAAGGATTTCAGAAGTAGCTACAATCTACAGGAATACAATTCCCTTGGAGGGCTGAAGTCTGGTTCCACTGAACTCAGTGGCAAAACAGAAAATCAATTTTCAAGGCTTCCGCAATGCAGAAGAGGAACAGGATGTTATTGAACCCGGCCTCAAGTTTGCATGACAAAGACCTGGGTGACAGCTTTGCTCTGGAGGTTTAATCTGCCAGGTGCTGAAATTCCTCAACTCCCACAGGTTACTGGGGGCGACTGACAGCGCTGAAAGGCAAAATATAGGAACCTTTGGTAATCTGCAGCGGGACTCCAGCTAATCAGAGATTTCTAACACCCCATCTGATCTGTCCCTCGCCCCCTCCTCGCCAGGCTGGGCAGGTGGATCAGAGGTGCAGCCCCTGGCAGCAGCCCAGGGATGCTCCACGCTCGGTGCCCAGAGCACTGAGTGGAAAGCAGGGCACGGTGCAGAGGCTCCTGTGTGTGCTGATCCGCAGATCAGGGAGGCCAAGCGCTGCTGCTGTTTGTACCTGAGGCCTGTGTGTCCAGATAAGCTGATCAGTATGGATTTAGCACCTACAAATGTATA